TCTCCAAGTGTAAATTACAATTAAAAACTTCGTTATCCAATACAGAGCACCCTGTTTCATCTTTTAGGCTAAAATGGGATTGAGGGTCCTTAAGAGTGGACTTCTTCAACCTCATTAGGTAATTATGGCGAGAAAGAACGTTAGTAAAAATTATTCTTTTTTTGTTTTTCCTCTTTGCGTTATTACACTCTATTGGCGAAACGAATAAATTGAATACCATCCCTTACTCATTCAATCTCCTAAAGATATCATATTTACAGTTGACAATAAGCATTACATCTCGACAATATTGTTGGAACAAATTGACATGGACCATGAACACCCTGTTTTGAACTACAAATTCTCGACGCATTGTAAGTTTAAAGGGAAAAATAATCTATTTTTTCACTTGTCATAAGTTGAATCTAAGAGCAACTCCAAAAGGTTAGTTAAAATCCCCTTTTTAGCTATTTTAGATAGTTTCTCCTTAAAATGTGGCTCCAACAAACTAGTTATTCTCCTATCTATTTTCCATAATCTCATTTTCACTAGTTACATTTAGCTAGTCACTTCTCCCTAACTACTTCAGAAGTTGTTGGTCTAGTGTTTGGATGAGACGATCGATGGAGAGACGATGACATCTAGTTTGATTAAACTCGAAGCTTTCAGAAGTTTTCTATCAAACTCGAAAGTTTTTAGGTGATTTTGTTTTGGATTTTGTGATTTAATTTGAGAGAATTTAGTTTGGGAGTAGTAATTTTCGGGAGGTTGGTTCTCTTTTGTAGCTTATAATTGATTAAATTTGTACAATGAATAGTTGAATTGCTATTTTCTGAATTTTATTATTGAAAGTTAATTAAAGTTAGTTGAAGTAGTTAGGTAAAATAGATAGCGTTATGGAAGTGAATTTAAAAAGTGGTTAATTAAAATAGAGCATTGTTAGAGATGCTCTAAGAACTGTAAATTAGAGAGATAGGCTAACGTTCATATGGAGAAAATACAGGGAAAAATGATTACCAATGAGGTCATTCATATTCTTGTCCAGCTGCATGAACATCTTTAATTAGTTTGCTCCCAATTTGATGATAACGTGGATAAAGACTCTTGGAGTGACTTTGCGGGAGAAAATAGGACAGGCATAGAAGGAATTTGCAACGATTGAAGGCTTCCTTCCAGCATTTCTATCACATTACTCATTGAAGGCCTGTCTGCTGGATTGTTCTGAATGCACCACAAACTCACTAAAACCATTTTCCTTGCTGTTCTTCTTCCACCTCAGTAGTCACTCCTTCAATTCCTAGATCCTCACCACGGTCGAGGTGCTCGTAAATTCAGTCTGGAAAATAAGATTCAATCTTACTGAACCCTCCAACTTCATGATTCTTGCTTGCTCCAACCATTTCAAGAACCATCATTCCATAGCTATACACATCAGATTTGTGAGAAACCCCTCCAAAGTTTCGACAAAAACACTTCCGGAGCAATAAATCCAGGAGTCCTTCTAGCACCCAACATCGATACAACACTCTTTTTCCTTTGGCATAATTTTGCAAGGCCGAAATCAGAGATTTTTGGGCAGAAGTCTTCATCCAGTAGAATGTTGTAAGGACTCCCTCACATATTAGGTATTTTTATATGTATATAGTGCTGAGTGCTGGTGCTAGCTTAGCTAATTCAGGGTAGAACAAAAAGGACAGGGCAAAACTCTACTTTATTCAATTGTTTCTATTTTAACAATCCGGTAGAGTTTCTTGCTTCAACCTGATCTCTGTGACTTTTTGCCGTGCTTATATAATTGTTTTCAGCTCGTGCATGATTCATAAATGACTGTGTGATATTGGATGGATATTGTGATTCCATCCCCTCCCTCCCCCGGCCCAAAACCAACAACCACAATATTTCTTTTTGGCTTTGGCTCTTTCTTAGTTCATAGATATTTCTGCGATTAATATAATACAATTTGTGTCTGAAGAAACCTCCAATGGAGGTCTCTATGCTTAATTAGGTTTCCACTTTCCAGTTGTTTAATTACATAACCTGTCTTGTTTAGGCATTTACCATTATCTTTCAGTTTAGGCTTTATTATGGAAGTTTGACCTAAATTTGGTACCAACTTTTGCAGGACAAACTCTATCAATGGATTCGGAGGCAACAAGAGGGAGGATCAAGAGTGACCACAATTGACATACTCACCTACCTTCAGGTTTAATTTTTTTTTTCTTGACGATTTACTTGGCTTGTTTGTTATATGATTTTTCATCCTTTGTTTTGTGTTCAAGTGTGACTTTGCATGTGCAATGTTTTTTGTTTGATTTCCACGACTTTCTGGAAATTTGTACGTTCGACTTTTTTCATTGAAGTTTAAAAATAAAAATAAAAATTAAATGACCTCTAAACATTTGACTCTACAACAAATTCTCTTAGTTTAATTTTTGGTTGCATTTTCTTGAAGCATCCAATTCTATTAATTATCTTGCAGTAATTTTCACCCTGTTGTTTGTTTTACCATTTTTTTTTTTTTTTTGTATTTTGTATTTGTTTTTGATCTCCATGAAGAGTGAGCTGGACTATTATGGAGAGGAGCCATCAATGTCACCCAGAGCACCTCTCCAAAATCAGCATTCACAACCCATTATGCATGGCACAAACTTGGGCTTCCTGGTGTCTCCTGGCTCGTCTGGTGCACCAGCTGCTGCGCAGGGGTTGCGGTCTGAGCACTGCGACCAGCAGTCTAAGAATTATGTTTTCTCAAATGCTCTGTCAAGCCCTGTTCGTCGGAGTCTTCAGAGCTATACTATTAGTGAGGGGGCGGCAGCTATAACAGTGTTCAGCCCTCTTCAAATGGAATGAGGAACAATGAAAGCAACTTTGTCCAACACCAGCATAGGGATAACCATCCCAGCTCCAACGATTCTTCCATGGACATGCATGCAGATAGTTTGGATCATGACTCTACCTACTGAAATTTCTGTTAGAGTTAGTGAACAAGCTGCTTGCCAAGTGTTGGTCAAGAGTCTTCGAATTGCTATTCCAGTCCTGTGGCTGTATCTATTACTGCCGGGTTGCAATTGAGAAAAAAACACAGAGGAATGTCTGTTTGATGCAAGATTAAACTAGTGGCAGGGTGACTTGAAGTGGGTGAAGAAAAATCGATATAGTTCATGGGACAGAATACAAATCGATGGGTACCAAACTTGTCAGGTAGACTTTATATTGAATCATTTTGTTTGTTTGGGTCATCTATGTTTGATGTAAAGTGTTTCTTTGGAGTAGGTTCCAATATGTTTGCACTGGTATTATTTGTTGCATGTAACACCATATTTTTTTAGTTTTATGTGCTTATTTTGGACAATACATTTTCATTGAAAATTGCAAACATGTACATGTGGTCTATTAAGGTTGGGAATAGATTAGAATGCTGTTGGGTTCGTGTTCTGTTGAAATTTGCTGGGTTGGTGTCTTGTCTTTTTATAGTCGTGTATAACCAGAATGCTTCGTTTACAAGTCTATCTGTTGTCAGGTTTGTATCTATCATTTATCACATGGTCTGCTTAATTAATCTGATTATGATCTATCATGTTAAGTATTCTCAACTCTATGCTCTGTATAGTATATTTGCTTAATCTATGAAATTTGCTTTGCTTTGACGAAGATCA